GTTTGCGTGGGTGTGTGAGTTTGCGTAACCAAAAATAATAACTGCCTCACCTCGTGTAAAAGTCTCGAATGCATAATTAAATTATTTTATAAAACAAGTTGACGGTCGCAAAAATCCAAAGGTTTTGCAAACTAAAAGACGAGATAGACGTTTGCATGGTACGTTGAGAAAAAAAAAAAAATAAAAAGAAAGAAAGAATCTTGGACTTGGAAGTCGCAGCTTGTTGAAAAAGCGTGAAAAATGCGCGGGATAACGTTGTTTATGGTGCTGAAGTGCACATTGAGGAAGATACGAGGACAATGATAGCGAGTTTCGGTTTACAAGGGATGAGATTTCACGACTACTAATTTCACCCTCGCATTTATGCAAACGTGAATGCATCTCTCTCGCATCGCGCGAATAAATGTGCGTGTCTATGTCATTACATCGCGCATGACTGGCTCGCTTGCTTTTTAATACACCTTTAATGAATTTCGTCTCGGGACATATTTTCTCTCGCGAATCATCTGTGTATAGAGTCAGACAGTGTGTGAAATATAAGCCGAAATGGGATATTAAGTGCGCTTCAACTGTAATTTTGACAATAATTTACGTTATTGTTAATATCAAGCACTTTTATTCTAATGTTTCTACCTCTAAAATGCCTAAGAGCTTATTTTTATGAATAATAAAAAAGGAAGAAAAAAATTTAAGAAACTCGATATAATGACTTAAAAGCCACTCGAACATTTTCAACTTTGTATCCCGAGAATTTCATTAATTAAATATTTGTACGATTAAATATCAACGTGTGAATGCATAAATATTCACATAGATTCGGTGTTTAAAAAAAATCTCTACTTTCATATAAACATTATATATATATATACATTATATATATATCATATATATATATTATATATATATATATATAATATATATATATGATATATATATAATGTATATATATATATAATGTTTATATGAAAGTAGAGATTTTTTTTAAACACCGAATCTATGTGAATATTTATGCATTCACACGTTGATATATATATATATATATATATATATATATATATATTCGTCATATTATATAGTTATTGCGACATTTAGAATAGAAATTAATTTAGTTATGCAAATAAATAATTTACGAAGAAATAATTATTTTTGTGAGAGAATATGTAAATCTTTCCAACATCTATATCAATGAAAATATAATTCTGTTAATTATTCTCTTGGTGCGTATAGTAGTTATGCACAACATAATAAAGAAATATTTTCCATTTCAGTTACATTTGATAAATTAATTATCTAACTGAAATAATGTTATAATATTATCAAGAGCTAATGAATTTCAATGCTTATCTCTTCGTATGTTCAATAGAATTTTATATTAATTTACTAATTAGTACATTAAGTAATATTTTTTAAATATTTTAAAATATTTGTAAAAATTAATAATCCAAATGAAATGACGAGTTACAATGATATACGAAAAATTTGATAATTTGACAATCGAAATATAATTCTGCGGAATTCGACAGTGAATCCCGCTTTATTCATGTAAAGCTCAACAGGGTGAGAAAAGCGAGGACGATGAAGAAATATCCGATCAGTCACGAGACAGAGAATCGCGTGTATGATAATAAAAGCATCTGATTAGCCGAAAGATTGAAAAGCGTAAATGCGGCAAACTATCTTTCATCTCCTCTTCGTCTCGTAATAAACGACGGTCGAACGAATTACGAGGATATTATCGCATAAACGGTCACTCGGATTTTACTTGGAGTTAGGAATTTCTAGGCATTCATCGACACATTTAATGGCTATAAGTGTGCGCTGTAATTTCGCTTTTCCTTTCATAACAAAAACTGGAACGTACGCATTGGAATCGGCAAAGAAAATCGATTTACTAGATAGATATCGATATAGAATTAAGATTTATAGATTATGTTATAGATATTTATTTTATATTATTATAGATAATTATGGATATAGATATAGAATAAAATAAGAGTTATAGAACGAATTATGAATTCGCATCGCAGCCAATGAGCCGCGGTTAAATAATTCTTCATTCGAAATATCATCACGTATTAATGAGCTACGAAGAAGAAAAAAGTTTTATTTGTTATAAACATAAAGATATTCATTTACTTAAACGTAAAAGTATGATTCTTAAAAACATATATTCTCTCCTTTTAGGTTATTATTCAGGAAAGGCATATTTTTAAATAAGATCGCTGAGATACTTCTGTCTTCGAATCTGACAAGTAGCAGTGAAAGCTTTTAAAATTATAAAAAAAAAAAAACTCCTTCCCCTCTCGACCATAAATGAAAATAGGATTTTTTGAATTACTATTTTTCTCTATTCATTTTAGAAATCTATTATCTAAAAAATTTATTATGTAATTTTCGTAGAATATTATAATCTCGTGATTTTTTTTCTCTCAGTATTTAGAGACTCTAAATGCGAACATAAAAAGTTACTTAAATATTATGAATTAATGTTTAATACGTTTTTAAGTTGAAAATATCATAGATCCAACATTTTTCTCAAAAACGCATATTTTTACCACAAAATGTCATCATATTTTTGAAATTTTTTCAAATTATGGTTTTAATCACAAATCAAAAAGAAGAAGAAGAAGAAAAAAAAAGAAAGAAAAAGAAAGAAAAATTCCTCTATTTTAACCATGTTTTCGCAATTAATGACAAAATTAACTCTGACTTTGAAAAATTATTATTTTTCTTCGTAATACATTGCTCTTACAGTTGCAGTAAATTTAAACTATGAAGTACAAAAGCTAAAAAATAATATCCTATAAATATCTTTAATACCTTTGAGTAGGCTAAGATTTGTTAATGATTCACATTCGTATTCTCATAATCTCGGAAAATATACAAAATTCATACCCCATGACTGATAATGCGTATATATAGATATTAAAAGTTTCATCTAAATATTATAATTAATAACGCGAATTAGAATTTTGAAATTCTATAATCACCATATTATTATTTTCATTTTCCGTTGAAATATCAAAATTATTAATTATTATCATAATATTTTCATAATATTCCAACAATATTCCTATTCTAGATTTTAATTCAAAATTTCTTTTCCATAACGAATAGATATTTGTTTAATAATTGAGACTCGTGTAATGTCTAATTATAAACGAAAATGCTATTTAATGTACTTTTTAAATTTGCGAAAGAGTAAATTCATTATAGAAAAACTCAATTTAAATATTAAAGAATTAAATTTTTGCAGCTATCAGTTTGATAAATACAAATTTCAATTCAAAAGTCAATGAAAAATCGTGGAAGACTATTTATAATAAAGTTTTTAAAGCATTGCTCAGGTGGCGGGAACATAATTATCAAATACGAGTACGAAGAAAAAAGAGAGATAAAATGCTCGAGGATAAAATAGTAAAAAGTGTTGTTTATCTATGCAGCCTCGGATATATATATATATATATAGATTATAAAACAATTTGTTAGCTGAATGCTTGCAGGATAACATATTTTTTAATGATAAAACTAATGTAATTGATAACAAATAGTATTAAATAAATCGTTACATGTAAATATCAATATTGAGATGGAATTAAATTAACGGGTATTATAAATGCCGACAATTTATTATATTTACTGAAAATAATAAATTATTGTCGCTCAAAATACTAATGCACGATTATCAAGCGTCCAATTAATAATTTTTATACCAATAAAAGTATGTAACATATTTTTTAAAAATTCTGAATTAAAAAGAATAATAAGTAAAATGTATAATTATAACTCGCTGCCTATGCAAAGAGAACACATTAATATTGAAAAAATACAAATTAATAATATTAATAATTATTAAATTCGATTATTATTATATATTGTTAATGTTATTTATGTCCAAACACTTTCCATAAACGAATAATATTTATAAATGACGATCCATTAAAAAATTATAATTTTACTACAATATTCTAAATGTTGCAAATATTAGATACAATTAATTGTCTATGAGCAGATAATAATATAGGTTACACACACGCGTGTGTATGTATGTATATAAATAATAAGTTTATTTTAGAAAAATTCCTTTTTAATTTTATATAATTTAAAACAAAATTTTTTCAAATGAATATTTTAATTAATATTTTATTAAATAAACATATATGCATTAAAATACTTTTAATACAGGATACTTTTGTACATTAACGGATAAAAAATTGTTTGGAAAAATCATGAAAAGTCGAGTATTGCATAATGTGAGGCACACTTTTAATATTTAAGAAATTCTATTACTATTAAACGGTATTTCTCAAAGAATCTATTACTCAGAGTGTCCATATATTGATAAAGTTTACATTATCATTTAATAACAAAGCCACACTTTAATCTTTTAAATACGATTTAATCTTTTACAGAATTAAAAAAAAAAAAAAAAAAAAAAATGATAATTAAATAATGCTACTTTTAGATTTGACTAAAATTAAAATTAAAAATTAATATAAATATTGTTGATGTTTTTTTTTTTTCGTTATTATTTGCGAAATTTAAAGATAGGAGCATAATAGCTAACTTATTTCAATCTGTAATGGTTATTATTGCTTTATCTAGTTGTTATTATTATTATTATTATTATTATTATTATTATACGTAATTCATTGTATATAATTAGTAATATTCACTTTAATGCATAATTGTTTCGCATCAATACTTTGCATTAACTGAACAAGTAAAGTAATGAATAATAAAGATGTGGACTACGGGTAAAGAACAAAGATTTCTACCTTAAATATAGATAAATAAATTTGCATACAATTTAACGTTTCTTTACCTTTCAATTACATCTATTCACTCGTCTAAACAATATAATTTAATTTTTGTTGTTTTTTATTCGTATTTGACTATTGACTAGTTAAACATTAAATTACGTAACAATTAACGTATTTGATAAAATAATCAATGCCAAACATTTTCCAGTTTAAACTAATTTTGTTCCCTGCGGAGAAATGGCCAAAATTTCACGTAATTGAATTACACTTAATATGTGTGAGGGGGGCGCGTGCTTATGCATGGGTGAGGATATGATTTAATAAATTGTTGTTTCAGTTGTTATTAATGATATTGATAACGATACAGCCAATAGAAGTGTAACGAACTCGTTAAAGGCATTGAAGATTCAAAATCCGGAGAAACTCGGCCAAGTATACGTTGCTTTAGTTAATATCAGCGATTCGAAGGAAACCGTTGACAGCATTTGTGCACAATGGAAGTCCGCTTTAACGGACGGCGAAGAAAATATTCCAGATTTCGTGTTGGACACGACAACTTATGGAATTGGCGCTGAAGCTGTAAATCATTTCACAGCTGCATTTGGAATACCAACTATTTCCGCTCAATTTGGGCAGGAAGGCGATCTGCTGGGTTGGCGAGAGATTACGGATGAACAAAAACGTAAAACACTATATAATATATCTTCATAACGCAATCTCTTAATTTACGAATAATGGGGCACACAATGCGACGTAGCGATAAATCTAAAAGAAAGAAAAAAGAAAAAAAAAACGAACTGAAAGTTTTTTTTTTTTTTTTTTTTTTTTT